AGAGGGAGGGGAACAGAGGGAGGGGCATGGGGGAGGACAGAGGGAGGGGGACAGGGGAGGACAGAGGGAGGGGAACAGAGGGAGGGGCATGGGGGAGGACAGAGGGAGGCACAGCCTGGTAAGTGCCTATTTCCTCAGTGACAGGGGTGGGGTCGGGCGGGGCAGCTGGGAGTCCAGGAGGTACAGCTGCAGGGCCTCCGGGGGGCCCTCTGGCAGCTCCAGCAGGAGACAGAGCAGAACTGCAGGCAGGAGCTGCAGCAGGTGCATGGGCGGCTGGCAGGTAAGGGCTGGCAGGGTCGCAGGGGGGGCCTGGGCCTGGGCTTTCCCTGCAACAGCCTTGCCCCACCAGGACTCCGGGCGCACATGGCCGGCCTGCGTCAGGGCTGCGGGGACCTCCGAGGGCTGGTCAGCACCTTCACCCAGAGCTGTCAGGGCTCGCTCAGTGAGGCCCAGGGTCAGGTCAGACCTCTCCCCTCCTGGCACCCATTTCTGGGCCAGCCCCTTCCCTGTCCTCCTCTGGGGACCTGCCCAGCCTGTTCTTCTTCCTCCCCCACAGTGTGGGGAGTATTGTTGCATGTGCTGATGGAAGCTCTGGAACAGCTTCTGTGTGACCCTGGCCTCACTTCTGGGCCTCAGTTTCCTCATGTGCAGTTGGGGTGTTAGCAAATCCCTCCCAGGCTTACCAGGAAGCCCAGAGGTGGGTGGGTGTGAAGTCCTTGTACACGGACCCCTCAGACTCCGTCCCAGGCCCAGAAGGTCTCATGCCACTGAAAGCTGTGGGTAGTCACTGTGGTCAGTCTATGTTGTCCCCTATACTGCCCTCAACACCCCTCCCCCAGCTCCTCCTGCTACCCTGAGCGTCTTCCTCACATCTCTGTCCTCTCAGGTATCCTGGGCCCTGGGGGCATTGTCAGCTGAAGGCGCTGGGACTCAGCTCCCTGAGGAGCAGCAGGGGCCCCCAACGGAGTGCCCAGGGCGGCTGCTGGAGCTCAAGGGTAGGGCAGACTTGCGGGGCAGAAGAGAGAAGGGAGGAGACGAGCCTCCCTGAGCTTCGGGCTTGGGTCAGGAGGCAGCCCGCTGACCTGACCTACACTCCAGGGAATATTCGTGTGCTGTGCCGGCTGAGGCCAGGGACACCCTGTGGCCTAGTGAGCACAGAGCCTGGCCCTGGCGGCACTGTCACCACCTGCTATCGAGGGCGCCAGCGCCGCTTCCGTCTGGACTGGGTCTTCCCTCCCGACGCCAGCCAGGAGGAGGTGACTCCACACCTTGCCTCTGTCCTGACCCCTTCTCAGAGTCCCCCACAATCCAGGGAAGCCCCAGTCTCCCCTTCTCTGCTCACCCTGTGCGGTGGCTGGGCTCCGCAGGGCAGGGAGCAGCAGGCCTGGAAGCGGGACAGCTGGCCCAGCTGGGTGTTTCCTCCTTCCAGGGTTCTCCCTCTCTGCCTCCTCCATGGAGCTCTGCAGACCCAAGAAAACAGCCTTCTGGGTTTAAACAAGAAGGTTAACATATCAACCATGAAAGACCACAAGCTCATCTGTGGTGATGGTCACTGCTCATGCAGAACTGGCCACAGAGTGTGGCTGGGACCTCACGGGCAAAGTCTTGGTGCCTCATCCTCTTGGGCGGCACTGCCTGTCCCTTCCCAGGGTCTGGGGCCCACCCAGCCGTGCAGGCAGGCAAGCCCCCAAGCTCTGCCTCATTCTGTGGCTGAGGCGGGTAAGGGTGGGCGGGCAGGTGAACCTGGAGCCTCAGTGTGCTCAGGCTGCCCAGGACCACCCTTCCCTTTGCTACCAGACTCAAGTGGGAAAGCTGGGCTGTTGGAGCTGGCCAGACAGACGTGGGGTCAAACCCTAGCCCACACCACCTAGCACATCATCTCTCTGACACAATGTTGCCCCTGGAGCTTTCTGTACAGGAGGAGGAGGCTCAGCATGGGCAGGGGCTGGGCAGAACCGGCAGGGACTCAGACTGGGTGCCTGATGGCCTCTGTTGCCCTTTCACCACAGGCACCCCGTGGGCCTCCCCACCTCCCAGGGTCTCACTGATCCTCATTTCGCACTTCCTGTCCACCTTACATATCCCCTGGCCTCAGCCCCACCACAAACTGCAGCCCTGCAGAGTCCCCAGAACTCCAGTCCCACTTGTCCACTGCCCTCCTGGTAGTCTTTCTGGACAGAGGCCTCTAACTCAACATCCAAACCAAAGAGCCAATGTCAACTGTGGCAATGGTGCCACAGTACACCCCTCCACACTTCACCCCCAATGCCTCCTTCCTCCATGGAATCTTAGTGGTCACACTGGCCAGCCCTTCAAGCAGAGCTGAGGAGCCCACAGAGTTAACAGCCCCCTTCCAGTTGCTGGCAGGATGAAAGCCCAGCGCTATTTCCTGACAGCTTCCTCTGCATCCTAATGGCCCAGGCTCCAGCTGTCCTGGCTGGCTGCCCCCCAGGGCCCTTCCTTTAAGCTCCTCTAGGTGCATATTCTCCCACTGGGGGACAGGTACCATTGTGGCCTCACTTTGCAGATGGGAAACCTCCAGGAAGGGCGGTGGGTGAGGAGTAACTTACCTCCTATCACACCCGGTTTAAACAGGCAGTCAAGCCCAGGGTCCAGGCTCCTGACCACTGCTCCATGGGCTCCCAGTGACCTTTGGGACTCCAGTCCTTCCCACAAGCTGTGCCCACAGCCCGTCAAGTCCTTTCACTCTTTGCCTGACAAAGCCTTACTTTTGCCTCAGACCCCAGGCAAATGCCACCTTCCTTGTGGAGCCTCCTGTTTTGGGGTCCACCCTCCTGGTGTGCCCCTCTAAAGCCCTTGTCTCACACCCCACTGCTCAAGCACTCCCAGGAAACCCCTCCCACTCCCCACCAGTCCTGAACAGGGGGCCCCTGGCACACCCCTGCTGCCCTTCCACCCCAGGTCTTCCGGGAGCTCCAGCCAGCCGTGCTGTCCTGCCTCCGCGGCTACAGTGTCTGCATTTTCACCTACGGTCAGACGGGGACCGGGAAGACCTACAGCATGGAGGTGGGGTAGCGCCCACTCCTTGAGGGAAGAGGCCCAGGGGGTAGCGGGGGGGGGGGGCGTTCCTGAGGCTGGGTGGAATGTGAGCCCAGATGTGGCACCTCGCTCCGCCCCAGGGTCCACCTGAGGACCCCGGCATAGCTCCTAGGGCACTGCAGTCCTTGTTCCAGGAGATGGGGGCCAGAGGGCAGCACCGAGTGACCCTCAGCATGGTGGAGATCTACAACGAGGCTGTCAGGTCAGGCCAGGAGGCCAGCTTCCCCACCCCCTCCTGCCCAAGGCCCACCGCAGCCATCTTCAGGGTCTGGAACCAATCCCTCCACCCTTTCTCACCAGGGACCTCCTGGCCCCCGGGCCTCCGCAGCGCCTGGCCGTGAGGCAGGGCCCAGCAGGCCAGGGGGGAATCCAGGTGGCTGGCCTCACCCACTGGGACGTGCCCAACCTGGAGACGCTGCACCAGGTAAGGCCCCCTCCCTATCCTCCACCTGGGGGCGGGGGCCCCTGCACAGGTCAGCCGTGTCACTCCGCCCTCCAGATGCTGAGCCTGGGGAAGAGCAACCGGGCCACCGCAGCCACCGCCATGAACCAGCACAGCTCCCGCTCCCACGCCCTGGTCACGCTGACGTTGCGCGTGGAGTCCCCACCGCTGGGTCCGGGCACCGCAGGTATCACTGCTGCGCCAGCGCCCTGCCGGGGCCCACGCCTCACTCGGACCCGGCCTTCCTCCAAGTCCGGCTTCGCTCGCCCCTGCAGGCACGCTGCACTTGGTGGACCTGGCGGGATCCGAGCGCGCCTGGAAGGCGGGGTCGACCAGCGCGCCCCCAGGAGACAAGGAGCGGGCTCGGCGGCTGCGGGAGGCCCAGACAATCAACCGCTCACTGCTAGCGCTGGGAGGCGTCATGGCCGCGCTGCGCGCCCGCCGACCCCACGTGCCCTTCCGCGACTCGCAGCTCACCCGCCTGTTGCAGCCGGCGCTCGGGCCGGGCGCCACAGCCGTGCTGCTGCTGCAGGTGGGCGGCTCTGGCCCGCGGGGCGCGGAGGCTCGTTTGCATAATCTTTGCATGCCAGGCACCGCCCACTCCGGGGCCCGCCCACTAGCGCCGCTTCCTCGCAGATCTCTACGCGGCACGAGGACCTCGGAGAGACCGTCTGCTCGCTCAAATTCGCCGAGCGAGTGGGCCAAGTGGAGCTGGGGCCAGCCCGGCGCCGCAGAGCCCCGCGCTCCGGGACGCCCTCCTCCTTCAGCACCGACACCCAGCTCATCGAGACCCCCTGCACTCCAACGCCGTCCCCCGGAAGCCCTCAGAGCCCGTCCCCAGACGGCGGCTCTGGCTCGGCCCTTGCGCTCCGGGAGAGCCTGCCCCCGTAGTTCTGCCCGCGGCCATGCCCGAGGGGTCTGGGGTCGCGCCTCTGCAGGCAGAGGCTGCAGGGAAGTCCCCACACTCTGTCTTGTGGGGTGCAAAAATACCCCCTGGACCTCTGGGAGGCCACTGCTCTCCAGACTTGGGAGCCTCCCCTCCCCACCATGAGGAGTGTTAAACCTGGAGACATGATGCCCCCCCACCCCTAGTCGGCCACAGGCCCTCGGCTCCGACCTTATCACCATTTGCTGTTATCAAGACACACAGCAGGGGATCCCAGAGCCACAGAAGACTGACCCCACCGAGTGGTTGCCCAAATCACCATCCCTGCCCCCAAAAACCAGACATGGTGTTAAAATGTTGTAAGTTCCTTTATTGTTATCTCCACCCCCCTCCCCCCCTCCCCGGCCCCACTAAGACCACATAGGGCCCAGTCTTCATTCGCTGCCCCTTCTCCCAAAAGGTGCTACCTCCTTCCCAGACAGCTGAGGGAGGACTAACAGGCTGGAGCCACCACTGAGCTCTCCCTCCACCAGCCCAGAGCCAAGGAGGGGAAGTGACAGATGTTGATGGATGGATAGACAGACTGACAGAGGGCTGAGAAGATGGGACAAGAGGGGCTACTTCAGGCGGAGCCCTGTTCCTTCCAGCCTTGCATCTTGGGGGTGGGGGTGGGGAAAGGCATGACTGACCCTCAGGGCTAGGTTTGGGCCCAGCTGGGCTGCCACCTTCCTGTGGGGTCATCCAATAAACGTCGTGGACTCTCAGCTCTGCTGGCGATGGGAGGCTGCTGTGGCTGTGGGCACCCTCCTGCATGGCCGCCGGGGACAGTGCCTCCCCCCCACCCCTGGAGTCTCACAAGCTGTACCAGGAGAGCAGCCAGCCCGGAGCTGGGGTGGTCAGGTCCCGAGGGTGGCTGACCCACACGTCATAGATGCTCTTGTTGGGAGGCACCCCCTGGAAGAGGGCATCTAGATCCCAGAGCAGCCCCGGGGGCCCTCGGGCTTCAGGGGCCACCCCCCAGTAGGCTGGGCTGGCTGCAGGAGGGCACTGGGGGCAGGAGGTGGGTGGTAGGGGGGCCAAGGGCATTACCACATTGGGGGTGTAGATGGGCAAGTAGGAGGTGGGCAGCTGCCCCAAAAATGGGGCTCTGCGTCCCCCACCGGACCGTCCCCGGGTGTCTGGAGTACCCTGAAGTAGGTGGAGAGGCCAGGCCCTGGACTCTGGAGAGAGGGTTGAGGGCCGGGTGGTCCCACCCTGGGACGTCTCCCCTTCGCCTCTCATGGGCCCAGGGAGTGGGCAGAGAGGCCACAGAGGCCTCTCAGAGGACAGCAGGGGTGGAGTGGGCACCCCCTCCCACTCCCCAGTGCACCCCGTGTTGGCTGCAGTTGGACTTTTCTCCGGAGGCAGCCGGGGCGGCCCCTCCTCAGGGTCCCCTATCAGGGACTTGATGCTGAAGCCCTCGCTGGGTGCCGGCGGGGGGTTTGGCGGCTGGTAGGGCTGGCCATGTAGGACGTAGGGGCCCAGGTCCTTGGCAAAGGCACCGCGAGCACCCCTGCTCTGCCACCGCCGGCACAGGGCCGTGTTCTGCAGTCGCAGCGCCTCGGCCGGGATCTGGTTCACGTCAACTGCCCAGAAGTTGCCCTTGGCCTGGGGCTTCGAAGGGTCCTTGGGCACCTGGTGGGGGGGGAAGGCTTGGGTGGACTGCCCAACCCTGGATGCCCAGGACTTCCACGCCCACCCCAACCCTCACCGGCCCCACCTTGTGGAAACATCGATTGGAGGAGAGGTTGTGGCGGATGGAATCCTTCCAGCCCTCATAGTCGTCCCTGAAGAAGGGGAACACGGCCTGGACCTGACGGATGATCTGAAACCACGCGGGTGCCCTGTGAGCCAGGCCAGAGGCACTTCCCTTGGAAGGGTCCTGCCTGAGCCCCTCAGCTCTCCCGCTCTGCCCAGGCTGGGTACTGGCCCTGTTTTGGCACTGGAGGCTGGAGCCTGAGCTGGGCAGTGGGTGGGGAACAGGTCTGGGGAAGGAGGAGCCCTACCCCAGGGTGGGGGTTAGTGGGGTGTCTGAAGAAAGGTCCGCCCACCGGGTGCGGGGGTGGGTGGCGGTATCCTCTCACCTGGGCCAGCTTCAGCCTGCGTGAGGGCGCAGCCTGGATCACCAAGGCGATCATGGCCAAGTAGGTGTAGGGGGGCTTGTCATGCCGCAGGTATCTCTTCTTCCTCCTCTTGGGGCGCTGGGAGGGGGACTCCGTCCCTGGGGGACCCGGGCGAGGGTCTCTACAGGGCCCCATGCAGAGGAGGCAGGCAGCCTGGGCTGGGGCCCAGCCCGGTGGAGGGGCACAGGGCACTGGGGCTGAGTGGTGAGGCAAGGCCGGGGCCTGGGGCCGGGTGGGGGCGGGCGGGCCAGGCCCTTTATCATTCGGATGGAAGGGGGAGGGGAGGGAGAGAGGAAGGCGGCTGTGGGGGAGGGGAGAGGGCTGCCACTGCCACAATTAGCAAGTTTCGGTTAATCTGGAAGGGAGGGGCAGGGTAGATTCTAGTGGGGACTTCAAGGCCTCAGCCCCCACCCCTGGACTGCCCTCAAGTGCCTGGGCAGCGTCCCTAAAGCTGGAAGGAAAAGCCCTTTGGAAGGGCACACGGCTCTAGGTTCCTGCATCCCACTCCCGGGCGGTGGTCTCCGGCGCCCTTTAACAGATGGGGAAGTAATTCGCCCAGGCTGGGGCTGGAGGACAACATGCTGGCCTTCCCTTCTGGGCCCACTTCCCATACCTGAGAAAGGTCAGGAGGCCCACTGGAGTTCAAGGCCAAGCACTAGGGCCAGGGCTCCAGAGGCCAGGACATCCACCCAAGCCATCCATTAGGGAGGGCTTCTTGGGAGTCCCTGGGTGGTGCAAATGTTTAGTGCACTTGGCCAAAAAGTTGGAGGTTCAAGTCCATCCAGCCAGAGGTGCCTCAGAAGAAAGGCCTGGCCATCTACTTGTGAAAAGTCAGCCATTGAAAATGCTATGGAGCACAGCTGTACTATAGGGGGTTGCCATGAGTCAGAATCAACTGAATGGTAACTAGTAGTCCAACTGGAGGACTGGCAGTGAAGTCCTCACCACTGGAACAAAAGAGGAAAGCAAGTGACTCAAGTGATTTGCCCCCCGTGCATGCTCTATGGCTCTGGGTGGGCTCTTCTGGGGTCCTGGAAGCCATACTCCTCCCCTCCTTACTGGGGCCTGTAAACAGTGGCTCCTGGCAACTGATGGCCCTCCTCCTTAACCATCGAGGGCCTCACTGGGCTCTGGGGTAGCTGACCCTGCCTGGAAGCAACACTTGCCTCCATCCTCTTCCTCCTTCTCCAGTTCTCCATGTCCAGGTACTCTGGAGGTTACCCTGGGGAGGATGCCCCTCGCCATCAGGTGGGTGAGTGTGGAGAGGTCTCCTTGTTGTAGGGGTTTACTAGGCACCTCTCAGGGCCAGACCTTGAGGAAATGACCCAGTGGGGTTATGGTCCCTGCCCAGGAGAGGCCTGCAAGGACCACCTGGGGTCCTCTTGAGTGTGAGAGTGCGTGTGTTTGTTTGTGGGTGCACAGGAAGGGCTTCCCAGGCACCCATAGGGCCCTGAGACTTGGTCTGGAAGGAGGAAGATGCTTCCCAGGTGGCCTGGCGGGAGGAGGAGGCACTCTATAGAGAGGGGAAGCCTGAGAGGCCAGCACCCAGTGCTCAGGCTCAGAGGAGGAGCTTCAAGCGGGACCTGTCTCTGAGGATGTCATTCCAGAAAGATGCCTCTTGCAGCTGCCCTGAGACTTACCTGTCCTCCTAAGTCCAGACTCTTCTGTACCCTCATCTTCTCTGCCCTGGCCATCTGATCTTTGGCTCAGCCAAGGCCTGTGCTCTGTATCCTGCCCTAAAGCCAGCCACATCTGGGCGGGTCTGCCCAAGAGGGTACCAGGTTCAGGACACTGGCTGGTGGACGGTGCTGGTACCGAGCCCTGGGGGGAGAGGAGGGCCCCCAGATGTGGAGTGAGGCTGCAGGAACACAGGGACAGCACCTTAACACCTGCGGCCCCAGGGCAGTGTAGAGGTGGGCCGGGTAGAGGATGTTAAGGGTGGGAAGAGGTCTGGGATGTTCTGTGTAGGAGGCATCCTGGGAATTCAGCTTTTCCTGTACAGCCCCTTTCCCCCCGTTACATCTATAACCAAAAAGAATAAAACCAAACCCATTGCCGTGGAGTCAATTCCGACTTACAGTGACCCTATAGCACAAGTAGAACTGCACCATAGGGTTTCCAAGGGGTGGCTGGTGGATTCGAACTGTCGACGTTTTGGTTAGCAGCCAAGCTCTTAACCACTGCACCACCGGGCTCCATTTGTGGTTTTGGTTATTACATCCTTTAAGGGTTGAAAATCTCCAGTATACACTGGTGGCCCAACACATGTTGAAGAAGCGTGCTGGAGAAGGAAGCCTGTGATACTGCATTGCTCATGTCCCACCAGGCTGGGGTCGTGCCCTCCCGGAGTCAAACCCTGCCTTCAGCCCTGACCTGGCTGCCTCTGGACTCCCCTTCCCCTGAGCGTCCTTCAGGGCTCTAGCTGGGGAGGTCCTGTGTCTCACCTGGGCTATCACTAAGGCCTCCCAAAGGTCAGCCTGCCCCACTCGGCCAGCAAAGAGGTTTTTCTCTCCTGGTCGCGCCCCCTCCCCAGGATAAAGCCGGGCTTCTTGGTCTATGGTTTAAGACTCCTCCTGTCCTGACACTGCCCATCTCTCTGATCACACTCCGTCCCCAGCCTTCCTATCTGAGTGGCTTTCCATTCGCCCAGCGCATATGCTGTTCCCTCCCCCTACGACGCCTCTGCTTTGTCGGGTCAACTCCTAGTCCTCCTTCAAAACCCCTTGAAAGCCCCGCATAAATACTTCCTCAGGTTCCCGCGAGTCTTTCTCAACCTCCCTCTTCTTTTACCCACACCGCTCCTCAGGGCCCGCCCCGAAGTGCTAGGCCCCGCCCCTTTACTCCCACGGTGCGCCTCGGCTTCCGGCTCTGGGCCACTCGGGCCGGAAGTGTAGCGTTACCATGGCGAGGGCTGGGCGCGGGGCCCGCCCCCGCGGCGCCCGAAGGAGCGAAGGGCTGACTGACTGGTTGAGCCGACCGGATCGAGGCGCGGCGGCGGCAGCGGCCTGCGCCAGGCGGAAGGTGAGGCTCGAATTTCCGGGGCCTCTGGCCGGCCGGAGAGGAGGCTGGGCGCGAGGTGGAGAGGAGGTCGGGAGACGAAGCCAGGCCCGGGGGGACAGAAGGCCGGGAGAGGAGGCCGGGCCGGGATGACAGGAGGCCCGGAGGGACAGGAGGCCAGGAGAGGAGGCTGGGACCCGGGGGGACAGGAGGTCAGGAGAGGAGGCTGGCCCCGGGGGGACAGGAGGCCAGGAGAGGAGGCTGGGCCCCGGGGGGACAGGAGGCCGGGAGAGGAGGCCGGCCCCGGGGGGACAGGAGGCCGGGAGAGGAGGCCGGGCCCGGGGGGACAGGAGGTCGGGAGAGGAGGCCGAGCCCCGGGGGACAGGAGGCCGGGAGAGGAGGCCGGGCCCGGGGACACAGGAGGCCAGCGTTGGGGGGCGGCCAACATGAGGCTGAGCCCTAGGGTTAGGGGGAGGCCCAGAGAGAGAAAGAAGGGAGGCAGGGAGAGGAGGCCGGGTATGAAAGGGAAGAGAGGGACAGGAAGGCTGGAGAGGGGGCCAGGTGGGGGAGTCCTGGGAAGGGTCTGCACTCAGAGCTGGCCAGGGCACTTGGGCAATAGGGCCACTTGGGCGCTGGTGGGTGAGGCTCAGGGCAGCAAGTGCTAAGGGTCAGGAGAGGATCGAGGAGTGGCAGCCACCTGTTGGTCAGGCCAGCAGCACTGGAGCTACCTCCATGTTCAGAGCAGGAAATGAAGGTCTGCAAAGCATAAGTGATTTGCCCGAGCTTTGTGTGGGCGTTGGAGTTAGGCCAGGGGGCCAGAAACTGGATCCTCTCTGCGACAAGTTACTTCACCTTTCAGAGATTCAAGTGAGCTGCAAAGTGGGGATCATGGGCCCCTCACGTATTGGGGTCAGCATGAGAAGTGCTAACTAAGCCATGAAAAGCACCTGGCCCTGTGCAGGTGCAGGAGAGGTGCTCCTGGCCTGGGACGGACTCTGGGATGGTGGGATTAATTTCCATGGGTACAGAGAGGGGAGGAGCGAGCATGTGGAATCGTTCCAGGCTTAGGGAAGCCAGAGCAGGGTTACCAGCCTCTTGCTATTGTGCATCAGAGTAGAACTTTACTCCATAGCATTTTCAATGGCTGTGATCTTTCAGAAATAGGTTGCCGGGCCTTTCTTCTGAGGGAGTTCTGTGTGGATTCATATTGCCAACCTTTCTGATAGTAGCCAAGTGCTTAACCGTTTGAGCGACCCAGAGACCTCCCCAAAAGCTCTGTGTCTTCCATTGATTCCAGGATCCTTAACTTGGGTGGGGATATTGTTCTTCTCAAACCCAGTCTAGCCCAGCAGTGAGCCTTCCTGGGTGCCGTTGCCTTTCCAGGTGCTCTCCTGTCAGGATTGGGGTTCCCCCAGAAGAAGCATCTTGCCTGCAGCACACTGGCTCCTGCTCCAGTTCTGTTCAGGGCCACAGAGCTGCCACTGGGTGGTGGAGCAGGGTCTGCATTGCCCAAGGCCACTCAACCAAGGGGCTAGTGAGGGCCAGAACACAGCCTGTCTCTGGGTCTGGGTAGGGAGCCCCACCATGGGGCTGAGCTCTATGCTTGTCCCATGAGAGGTGCTCAGGGTTGAGGGGCCAGCAGCCTGCCTCTGCCCCCAGTTTTGCTAAGAGCTGGGGTCAGGAGGCCTTAGCTGGTCCTTCCTTCCCTCTCCTGATGCGCCTGGGGTAGAGTTCTTCCCTGTTGGCTGGGGCCTCCCTCCTGGTCTAGATTGGCCTGCATTGGCCTTGTCCTTCGCCTGTTTGGGGCTTTCCTGGACTCTACTCTCCCCAGGTGGTTGCCTGGGTACCTAGGAACAGGCCTCCTTTATCTTTGGGCTCAGACTTTGGGGTCTGTTGTAGAGATTTCTGAATCTCCAGTCTATCTGGATGTTTCCCCTGCATGCAGTTTAGGAGCCTCAGGTGAACTTCAGGTGACCCAGCAGACCAAGTGTGCCCCACCCAAGTGTCTGCATCACTGTCCCCCCATTGGCCAAGTGGGACATCTGGGCAGTAGTTCTAGGCTCTTCTCTCACCTCCAGGCTCTCTCAAATTTTCCTCCTAAGTATTCTTCAATTCCTGCCCATCCCTTCCACCATATAGCCTGCCTCTGTGGCTCCTGGTTCCCTCACGCATCCCCGCGGTTGTACCCGGCTGTTCTTGGCTCTGTCTCAGCATCTCACCTTCATCCTCCTCACCTCAGCTGGAGTGATTTACCTGAAATGCATTCTGAGTCTTTGCTCCCCTACTTGAGGTCCTTCCTCACTGACTTGGATCAGGCCAGCTGTCTCTGCAGGCTGACCCCAGGGGCAGGTGAGGCTGGCCCTGACCTCATCGCTGACCACCTGTCCCTGCGCACTTCTTGTCTAGCCACATTGAGCCTACTTAGTGGTAGGATGGGAAGGCAGGCCAGAGGAAGGAAGCAGAGGAAACATCTCTACTTCCAAGTGCTGTGGCCGTGGCCAGGCCTTAGCAAGGCAGACTGAGAAAGGAGGGCTAGAGAAGTCCAGGGAAATCCCAAGAGCCCAGTTTCACAGAAACCAAGGGAAGAGAGCTGGTCTCTCATGAAGGAGGAAGATGGATCGACTGTTGGAAACGGCACGAGGGCAAGTGAGGCGAGGTCTAGCGTGGATACCGTGTCCTGTGTGAGGCGAGGTCCAGAGTGGACCCCGTGTACTGTGTGAGGCGAGGTCCGGAGTGGACACCGTGTACTGTGTGAGGCGAGGTCCGCAGTGGACCCCGTGTACTGTGTGAGGCGAGGTC